CTTACACAATAGGCAGCTGGTCGTCGTGGTCGTAGAGGAGTAGTAGTAGTATAGTCCTTCCGTAGTAGTAGTCAGCAGTTAGTAAAATAGTCGTCTCAGGTCGTAGTAGAGGTAGTAGTAGTACAGTTGTATTAGTAGTAGTAGTCATTACTAGTACCAGCTCAGCAGCAGCAAAGCAGCAGCAGCAGTGTACTAGTGTGTAGAGTAGTAGTATTAGTAAGTAGTAGATAAGAGTAGTCAGTAGTGAGTAGTACTTCTTGGAGTAATAGTAATTATAGTAGTGAGTTATTAGTAGTTAGTCAGCAGTATAAGCCAGTACTATCTAGTACTAGTAACTATACTACTAGTATAGTCTGAGATGATTCGGTAGTAGTAGTAGTAGTAGTAGTAGTAGTAGTAGTAGTAGTAGTAGTAGTAGTAGTAGTAATAGTAATAGTAGTAATCGTAGTAGTAGCAGCAAGGTGGATTCTCTAGCATTCGGTTGTAGCAGCCTTCGTACACATCCGATTCGTATACAGTGATGGTCGGCAGCACACGCAGTAAGCGGGAGTCGTTGACCGTAGCAGGAGAAGGCAGAGGTTGTCAGACAAAGCAGGATGTAGTTTACGCAGCCTCGCGTCCTTTGAAGAGTCGCCACATTCGCGAGCTCCTGGGAGATACTATCAGAAGCTGGTGTAGGGCCTCGTGGGGAGCCTCGTGAATTTTGCTGATTACACTTGTGGGTGTTCATGTTGGGTCCCCTATTAGAGCCTCAGGGGCGTGGATGTCCTTCTGTGAAGGCCGTTCTGTCCTTTTAGCACAGCGCACGCGAGCATAACCACAACTGCAAGGCCGACCCATGCATCCTTGCAAGAAACCTACGACTGCAAGGCCTTATAATGACCGCAGAGTGATTCTTCTGACTTGAGGCCTGCCCACATGCATGCCACAATCAGGCCTACGCACCCAGGGCAGGACGCATCGCAGATCGCCTTCTCAATTACTTCAATGGGCGCATCTGCGATCGTGCTAGGAATGGATTCATCAATGCCGAGAATGCGGCATTTCTCTTCTAGTGTAATGAAGCGGTCAAAGTGCGGTGGGCCGACTCCCCTCACCCAAAGAAGTTGTCCCGCGTGGAACGATGGGCAGATGTCGAATAACACCTCGGGGTCCGACACAACCCATGATACAGGGGGTGACATATTCCCCCTCCCTTCCCCATCACAAAGCCTCAGTCCGTTTCTCAATCGGGAGACGGGCAGGCCAGCCTCCTGACGGGAAACGACACTTTAGATTTGGAAGGCGGTTCTTACCACGTCGGACGGGGGTTGCGCGTCAAAGAAGGGGGCGGTTGCGCATCCGAACGGTCCTCCTCCTCCTCCCCTCGCTCCTCCTCCCCCTCCTCCTCTTCCTCCTCCTCGTCCTCTGCCTCCGCCGCCTCCGCCTCCTCCTCCTCCTCCCCCCCTCCTCCTCCTTCTCTCGTTCGATTCTTCGTCTCCTATTATCCGACCGTCGTCTCTTGCCCTCGTCCTCCTTAAGGTTCGTCGTCCCCAGCCTCACCTTCGTTCTCCTCCACCCTCCGTATCCACCCCTCCTCGATTCTTCCGATATCGGTGCAGATTTGCGAATGGCGCCTGCTCACTCGTCACGGGGGCCACTGCCAAGTCGAACACTGCCACCGCATCCTCGTGAACGGAAATGTGAATATCAGAGCGTGGGTTCCTGGGGTCGCATCTGATTTAGGATCCCTTCGGTCCTTTTGCCAGCCGCGGCGGCTCACGATGTTATACATCAGGGTCACATATTTCTGTAGGACGATCCCCTGAGGAGGAGACTGCGGAGGAGGAGGCGGAGGGGGATGAGGAGGAGGAGAAGGATGAATGAGGGAGAGCGCAGTTGGAGGAGAGCGGGAGGGCGGGGGAGAGGGAGGAGGAGGAGGAGGAAGAGGAACAATGAGGAGGAGGGTGAGGACACAGAGGAACGCGATTGATGGAAGGGACGTTGGAATACAGCGTCGGGCCTGGGCCTCAGTCAAAGAACTAGCCTCGCTGGGGAGCTCCGCGTCGAGGAACACCCGAAGCATGGGCGGGACCTCGGGGTCTCAAGGTGCTTGTTGTCGGCGTTTGCACGCATTCAGGTGCCGTTGTTGTTGCTGTTGTTGTTGCAGCTGGTGTTGCCGATGCTATTGTAATTGCACCTGCGCGCGTTCACTGGACACGGCGTGGTGCACATGTGTTTAACACCGAGCGGACCAAATCTGCTGTTTCTGGAAGTTTTCTCGGCATCGGCGTTTCGAAGAGGTTCCCGTCGCGCCCCCACAAGAACACCCTGGAAGGGAACATCCTTGAACACAACACGGCAAGATCTTCCTCTCATTCTTCTTCCCCTGGTTCCATGCCATCCCCATGAGGCGACTGGGTCCAGAGGAGGAGGAGGAAGAGGAGGACCAAACCATAGCCATATCCATCACACGGGTCCTTTTCCGATCAAGCGGGAACCCCGCCTTGTTCGCCTTCATCGTAGATGCATGAAATACCCAAGATTGCGGCAAGCACTCGCGTAACCACTCGATCATCTCCTCGATCGGGGTCTGTTCGCCTCGGGCACTGTGCATCGCGGTAGTGGGTAGCTCGATCATGAAATTAGCCAGAGCAGTTGATGGTCGGCATGCTTGATCTTTGATGCAAAATAGTATGACGATAAGTGGCGTGGCGTCGTCCTTGTCGAATCCTGTAAACAAACGGGTTCCCCGAACACGTTCGAAAGGTGGTGCTGCCATCACAATTTCAAACAGCTCTAGCTTCGTCGGGTCGAGTTCTTCGATATCACCGCATGGGGAACCCATGTGCACAGCCCCCTCGTCGGTATTGACTTCGGAAACCCATGGCTTCAACCATTCGTTCGTATCGTAGGACACAGGGCTGCATGCAAGTCCAAGGGCGGTCATGGTGGAAGTGTAGGCTTCCAGCCCACAGCACGGGGTGAAAACGTGAAAATAATATGGATCACATGTGTTGCCAAGAAAAGATTTGGCAAAAGTAATCCATTCGGGGTCGGTCATTCTTGCTTGAGCCAAGCTGGTTTCGATCGGATGGCCCCTCGGGGCAGGCGTGTGAGAGAGGACGTCAGATGTGGCGCGAGGGCTGCCCGATGTGCCGTCGTTATCGTCGTCGACGTCGTCGTTATCATCGTCGTCATCGTCATCCTCAGCGTCGTCGCCGTTCGTCTCTTAGTGAGCCCCTGGGTCCTTAAGAGAGCATGCTGCGATGTATTTGGCGTTCCTACATGGTTGCCCAATACGAGTCTTGCTCTACACGAGGAACGAGACGCGCCCTACAAAACACGCCGTGCTCCCATCGCCTGCGATGGGACGCGGAAGCTTGGCTGGCAATCACTTTATTAAGCGATTCATCTAAAAAGCAGTGGTAGAACCTTGGGTTCCCATGCTTTCCTGCCCGCAAAGAAAGGTGAATAAACATGTGGTGTTTTGGCATGAGTTCGATGCCCGCGACCTTTGCGATTGAAACATGCCTGACAGCTAAGTCAACCATGGCCTGGTGAGTCTCACCAGGCAGAACTCTCGGGGCCCCTTTCATCATGCTCATATAGTCATACAGTGCCTCCCCAGCACAACACAAGGCACGCGCACGTGGGAGAGAATCGCTGAACCGCTTGCAGAGGTTGGTCGCATAAGGCAGGAGGGTGGAACTTTCGCAGGCCTTTAGCTTCAGCATACGGTTGTTATCAGAACCCATCATCTTCTGCGTAAGTCTTTGTATTCTTCGGTCCCGTGGGGCATCAACACTCTGATACCAAAGCTTAATATCAGATTCAATCCTTGAGATACCAATATCCAGTACAGATGACCTGGGTCCTGGGATTTGCCAAACATTTGCGTCCAAGGTCGCCCATAGCACATGCTGTATGAAAGATAGGATGACACCCAGATGAAGGCAATGGAGCACATCAATCTGCAACAAATCGTTCGGCGTGCAATGAGGCAAAGAAAAGATTGGGTTCCGCCTGTTCGTGAAATCCAAAGGCCTGCCCGCCCCGTCCAGGTTCCTCCTCCAGAACGTCACCTTGGTCGGCAATGTACACGTGTTCAGGTTTGTCACGTTTTGCAAGTTCTTGCTAGGTTCCAGGCGGTCGTTCGTTTTCAAACCCAAGGAAGGGACATCTGCGTGCAATATCATACCTGTTGCTTTGCGCCGACTGTCGAAACCTAGCTTCCCTTGCGATAGTATAAGTGTTCTCGTATCCTCGTCGGTGACATCGATCTCGATCTCGCACGCTCGGCACGCATCCTCGTACCACGTATCTGGAGGGGTACCCCATTTATGCCCGAGGACAGACACGTGAGACACGTCGAATCCACCGCCCACGCATTCGCAAGCATATGCGGTAGACTCGGCCCTCACTGGTGTATAGCACACTATTGTTATATGTCTTTGTGTATGCATGTATGTATATATGTACGCATGTATGTACACAGCCCCCATGGTAGATGCACCCTCTGTTGGTAGGCGGGCGGGCGGGGGTGGGGACGGCGGTGGGCAGCGACAACAGTTGTACATCTGGGCTTTCTTAGACGAGCAGCAGAAGCACGGCTTATGGTGGACTGCCCAAGATGGCAATGCGAAAGTGTGTGCGTACTCGCTCCAGTCGCCACGAATCTCGCAAATCAGGAACCGAGCAGGAAGATGTTTGCCAGCTTGAACGCCATAGAAATCCCCAAGGCCCCATGGGTTTCCGTCCCAGCGGTTCGTATCACGAACACCTTTGGCACATTGCTCGAGGGACCACGCCAGAAAATTCATTATTGGATAAACAGAACACCAGCCCCGACATCCACATTTGCAATGTATCGATTTTGCTTGAATTCCCAGGAGATGCCGTTTTCCTGAAGCCAAATTGTGCACAGTGTAATTTACAAGTGTGTCGCGCGTTCCAGCACCGATTGATTTGGCATACCTCACCCCGTCACAGTACAGCGCGATAGGATACACAGGACGAGCGTCACCCTCGATATGCCTCAACGGATGCTCTGAAAAATTGTGAGCCCACTCAGTATCCTCCAGAGTTCGAGTGATATTCCCTGAAGCATCTCGTTCGATTTCTGCAGATAAGCATTCGTGAAGAGGCGCAAGAGATACAAACGATTCCTTTCGGAAGCAAACGAGGGGGATAAATCAGACCACGCCCCCTAACAGCTGATTCCGACGTGGGGGCAAGGAAGGTGGGGGTTGGGCTGTCTTGGGGATGGTAGGTCTTCGAATGTCTGGTGTCCTGGCGTCTCCCGTTGTATTTCACGGGCGTGGTAACTTGGCAAAGCTCAACAACATCTTCGCGGGGTAGCACTTTATCTAGATGCTCTTGGAATTTTCCAGATGCCGACGTCGGAGGGAGCGAAATCTTTTCCAGTCCAGGGCCTAGGGCCCCTGCCTGCACAGCTAGAAATGTAATCACGCATAGGGATCTAGCGCTGATCCGTCCAAGTGCGTACTCTTTGACCAAATGATCCTCCAGCAAACGACCGAACTCTTCTTGGCGGGCGGCTACTTCGCGGCTCTCGCCAGCGCTGTCCCTCTCCCACGAAGCCTGCGACGATTGCCCATCAAGCTCCCAGCTGTGAATGCGTGCGGGCGGAGGTGGAGGAGGACAGAATCGCTTCTTTGGGGGCATCTTCTGAGCAAAAATGCTGCCGGCTACTTCCAGGGGCGGGGTCCTCTTAGTTTGATCTCGGTCCCGCCTCCCAGTCCCTCCTTGTCCCAGGAAATTTATTCGCCTCCTCCATTCAGGTTCTAGACTGGGAAGAACGATGCCACCCCCGAGGTGAGCCGAAATCAAGCTTTCGAATGTGATCTGATCGCAGGTGTGTTGCATCTCTGGCCTCCGAATGCTGGGATCCTGATGTTTTCGCGATGAAATCAAATCTTGGGAATGTGGATTCGCATTTGCGGCCTCTGAGCAGACAAAAATGAACCAAGACAAAAATGGACAAAAATGGACAAACCTGGACAGATCTGGACAGATCTAGACACCTCAGATTTGTGAGGATGTATCGAGCGAGAGCCTCCCCCTGGACAAACCTGGACAAACCTGGACAGATCTGGACAGATCTGGACAGAATCTAGACAGCCATGGAATCTTGATTACAACGGTTTGCATTTTCGTTTTTTGACAATCCTCAGAGTAAAACGCCTGTCCCCATATCGAAGGCGCAGCAGAATGTCAAACTTTGCGCCAGCGGAGCATCCAGCGGCCAGGACGAGAGAGGGTCTGACTTGCAGGAGGGGGTCTGGGGCCTTGATTCGGATGCTCGCTAGCTTCCACTCAGCTAGGCTGAAACCCTGAAACCCCTACATGGACTCGATGTCCCTGACCCTCTTGCAGGCGTCCAGGAGTCCGTCCACGGCCTCCTGGATGGTTGTAGTCACGTTGTTGATGAAGGTGAGCTTCGCGGCCTCGGGAGGGCAAACAGATGGATGTGGCGGAGGGAGAGGGTGAGGGGATCAGGAGGAGGAGGAGAGGAGGAAGGAGGAGGAGAGGAGGAGGAAGGAAGAGGAGGAGCGGAGGAGAGCAGGAGGAGGAGGAGGAGGAGGAGGAGGGGATGAGGAGGAGGAGGAGGAGGGAGGGATGAGGGTAGTGAAGAGGAGAATGAGGAGGAAGAGGAAGGAGGAGGTGGAGAGGAGAAAGGAGGAGGAGGAGGAGCAGCAGCAGCAGCAGCGCAGCAGCAGAGCAGGAAGCAGGAGCAGGAGCAGGAGCAGAAGCAGGAGGGCGCGGTGCCCTGCAGGATGGGAGGAGGAGAAAGGAGGAGGAGGCGGAGGCGGAGGAGGAGGAGGAGGAGGAGGAAGGAGGAGGAGGAGGTGATGAGGAGGAGGAGGATGGGGGAGGAGGAGGAGGATGAGGAGGAGGATGAGGAGGACGACGAGGAGGAGGATGAGGATGCGGAGGGGGAGGCGGAGGAGGAGTGGGAGGGGGAGGATTGAAAAGGAGGGGGGATGAGGTGGAGGAGGAGGTTGAGGAGGAGGGGGAGGACGAGGATGAGGAAGAGGAGGACGAAGAGGAGGACGAAGAGGAGGACGAAGAGGAGGATCAGGAGGGGGAGGGCGGGGGGGAGGAGGAGGAGGAGGAGGAGGAGGAGGAGGAGGAGGAAGAAGAATAAGAGGGAGAGGAGGTTTGAGGCCTCGTCCGCCATGCCGTTGAGCACTTCCTCGGCGCCCACGACCAGGGCCATCTGGAAGTCGTCGCCCCCCTTGGTGCAGGACTCGAGGTACTCGCTGGCCTTCTGCAGCGGCTCGCTGAACTTCTCATTCTTCGCCCACGCCCACTCCGTCTCCGTGGCCGACTTCTCGCTGATCCACTGGTATTGCCCTTGAGCTCGTCTGAAGACCGTCACGACGTCTTCCACCTGCTTGGCCGCGGTCTTGGCAGTTGCCTTCTTCGGCGTCTTGCCCTTCTTACTTTTGCCGTCCTTGCCCTTGCCCTTGCTCTTGCCACCCTGACCCTTGCCGCCTTTGCCCTTCGAGTCCTTGCCCTTGCCAGCCTTCCCGTTTCCCTTGCCAGTGCACTCGCCAGAGTAAACCGAGTTGGCGTCATCGTCAGCTCCTTGTCCACCTGATCCTCCGACCTGCCCAGAACCAGCAGCACCAGAATCAGCAACACGAGCGCCAGTCTTTTCAGGAGTCTCCATTCCTGCAGGTACAGTGTCAGCTGGCTTGGCGGGTGCGGTCCTCATTCTCTTGGCGTCGTTCGTCTCATCTTGCAACTTTGACCACCCGTTCCTGCGCTCCGCTTTGGAGTATTTGCGCTTCCTTTTGAATAGTAACCTTCCGCTGTCCTCGTCGATGCTGACGAATGGCGGGCCCTTTTTTATCAGATTTTTCACTATCGTGAGGCAGCCCTTGATTACACTTGGTCTGTGCCCGCCTTCAGCAACCACCAGGGCATCCCAATTCAGATCTTCGTACATGCAAGTGTCGGTCTCGTCGTAGCTTTCCACCGTCTGTTTCGAACGAACCACCAAGTCGTATTGTTCCTTGCCCCACTGGGCTCTCCAGCGGCCCTTCTCCAAATTACTAAGTTTCCAATATTGGTCCTGCTTCTCTTCGCTCCAGTGCTTCGCAATAAAACGCCCAAAAGCTCTGCCTGCCGAGCTCCCTGCTGGAAATTCAAAGTTCTGCTCTGCAGCCTTTGCCAGTACAGCGTGTTTCTCTAACATCTGCTGGTGTATCTTGTCCTCTGTAGTCGTCGGTGCTTCCGCCTTCTCTGGTTCGAACTTGGCGCTCTTGAACATCTTCATGAGCTCCTTCTCGAAATCGATGTTCCCTACGTCGAGGCCGTTGGGCAGCGCGAGTCCACTGATCTCCTCTAGGAGCTTACTCTCGAACTTCTGGGCAACATCGATGCTCTCTTGCTCGGCCTGCTTCTGAAGCTCGTCGGCATCCTCCAAGTGCTCGCTGACCTGCTTCGGGTGCTCCTTCGGGGGCTCGTCGTCCTGCTGCGGAAGCTCGTTGGCGGCCTTCGGGTGCTCGTCGACCTGCTGCGGAAACTCGGTGGCGTCCTTCGGGGACTCGTCGACCAACTGCGGAAGCTCTGCCTCAACCGTGCCCGCGGGGGCCGCGGCTGCCGCTGCGACGGCTGTATCTGCGGGCACAGTCTCCTGCGAGGATGGCGGCAAAAAAGCCAAGGATGAGGGATCGGGATGAGAAGGAGGAGGAGGAAGAAGATGAGACGGAGGAGGAGGAGGAGGAGGAGGAGGAGGAGGAGGAGGAGGAGGGGGAGGGTGACAAGCGGGATGATGATGAGGCAGGAGGAGGCTTGGGGAGGAGGAGGAAAGAGGGGAGGAGGATGGGGGGGAGGAGGAGGAGGAAGGATGAGAGGAAGAGGAGAGGGGAGAGGGGGTGGGGAGGAGGAGGAAGAAGAGGAGGAGGAGGAAAGAGCAGAAGGAGAAGGAGGAGGATGAGCAGGAGGAGGAGGAGTGCGAGGGGGGGACGGCGGAAATCTAGCAAAAACCATAGATATCAAATGCTGTCCCGACTGCCCTTCAACATTAACTATGCAATGCGAATTGGGCCCCAGGACCATCCAGGGTAAACAAATTGGCGGGCGAGGGGGTTGGTGCGCGAGGGGCCACGAGGATTCCAGATCCAGTCCTGCGAGGCGCCAGCGTCACCACCCGAGACGTCAAAGCTCTTCTGCTTGCAATCCAGGGCAGCCTCAGGCTTCCTCCTCCTCTTCCTCCTCCTCCTCCTCCCCCTCCTCCTCCTCCTCCTCCTCCTCCTCCTCCTCACCCCCCATCGAGCCCTTCCTTCTCCTCGAACCCTTCATCATCTTGTGCGTATCCCGCCTCTCTGCTCCCTGGTCCTCTCCTCCATGCATCACTCCTCCCTGCTGGCAGCGCCTCTCCTCCCCTCCCCTCTCCTCTCCTCTCCTCTACTCTCCTCTCCTCTCCCCTCCTCTCCTCTCCTCTCCTCACCTATCCTATCCTCTCCTCTTCCTTCCTCTTCAAACATCCCCTCTCCTCTCCCCCCTCACCCCCTCTCCTCTCCGCTCCTCTCCTGTCTCCTGTCCTCTCCATCCCTGCCATCTCCTCTCATGGCCTCCCCTGTCCTCTCATTTTCATCGTCGTCCACGTCTGCCCGCAGCCTTCAGCACGTTCTCGCGGTCGCTTTCGCTGTCGTCGATGGTGGCCACGGCAGCGGAGGGGGGTGCCGATCAGGAAGGTGGGAGTTTGAGGATGATGAAGGAGGGATGATACCACCAGGAGGAGTAGGAGGAGGATGAGGAGCGGGGAGAAGGATGAGACGGTGGAGCAGGATGAGGAGCAGGAGGCGAAGCAGGAGGAGGAGAAGGAGGAGAAGAGGAGGAGGAGGATAGCCTTATCACCAGCAGTGGCAGGAGGAGCAGCTGCACCAGGATCAACAAGTTGGGTCGGCGCGACCATCGCCTCGAACTCGGCCCGTCTCTGGGCCATGGCCTCCTCCACGGCGCGGGCGCGCGCCCTCAGCGCCAT